CATTCATTTAAGACATGAAAATACTTGCCGAGATAGTTATTTTGAGATAATTTTGCGTGTATGTGTCTGTTCAAGCGAAAGAGGAATCAATTCTGTGTTCGTGCTCTGCCTGAAACGGCGCTCTGTATGTGCGCGCTTTGAGCGTGTGCGCGCGATCACCCAACTGAATTCTTCATGCGCATGACTGGTTTAAAACGCTTGAATGTTTAAATTGGTAAGACTTAGAAACACATGTAAATGATAAACTGTGATCCATATTGTACCTGGTGGGGAGTGCACAATGTAAACATGAAACATATGCCATTACCTATATTGTACTGTGCTACAGTTATGGAGGCCCTTCATAATGCAGAGGTCAGCTGCCTGCTCTGCCAATAGTTAGAAATGCCACTATAGTATGCAGTGATTAATAAACAGCTGTTTTACTAAATTCTGCTGAGAAATTCAGTGCAGTCCTGTATCGTGATACATATCGTATCGTGGCCTGATAGACCAAATCAGGCTAAATCAGCTGCAAGCTTGATTTTACCAAACATGTAATTATATATATATATATATATATATATATATATAGGGATGGGTATCATTTACATTTTATCGATACCGATACTGCTTATCGATAACGGTACTTATCGATACTGTTATCGATACTATTTGGTGCAACAAGATATGAAGTGAAAAGTTGTTGAAAATTTCAAGTTATTTTATTACTGCTGAACTTTAGCAACTGTATTAAAGTTCTTCAGTCAAGAGCAGGGAGTTATTTTTCTCTTTGTGTTTTATTTTATTAACATTAAAGGAATAGTTCACCCAACAATGAAAATTGTGTCATCATTTACTCACTCTCAAGTTGTTTTAAACCTGAATGGGTTTCTTTCTTCTGTTGAACATAAAAAGTTATTTTGAAGAATGTGGGAAACTAAACAGTTGCTGGTCCCCAGTGACTTTCATATTTTTTACCTACTATCAAAGTCAGTGGGGACCAGCAACTGTTTGGTTACCCACATTCTTTAAAATATCTTAATAAAAAATATTAAACAATATTATTAAAAATGAATACATGTTTGGTACAACATGACTGAGTAAATAATGACAGAATTAAAATTTTTGGGTGAACTATCCCTTTAATGACAAGCAGCAGCATGTTTAGTACTGTCCCTTTAAGAGATGCACGCACCTTTTTCTCAACGGTTTACTTTCACTTTAGAACTTTAACTAATTGTGTTTATATGTAAACCTTGTGTGTTTTTGACAGTATTAGCGCAATCAGACGATAACTAAGATTACTAAGTAATCAGGTGCTGTTTGACTGGCCTTTTAGTGTACGGACGCTTTGGGTGTACGCGCTCTGAATAAGCACGTTAGAACAGCACGTGAATAAAACGTTTTACCTGCAAAGCCTTAAATCCCACGCAAATAATGTACTTTTGTGATTGCAAATAAGTGCAGTGTCTCGTGAGTGTAACTCTACTGCTGAATTGACATTTGATGTGAATGTGTCTCGCGAGTTGCAGTTGGAGCTGGAGCCGCGAGATAATACAGCGCATTGCTTGAGGTAAATGTCGTTTTGTTAGTAAATGTTTCATTATATTACTAGTGTTGCCTTCTTTGTTCACTATTACACTACTGCATAAATTGCATCTGAC